TTCTAGAGGTTTTTCTGTTCTTCAGGTTCCTCAAACTCAAATCAGGTAYGTCRGAGCRGAGGAACCTCATGTGTAAGGTGGTGGCCTTAAAAGGACCRGGACTGGTCACCCCTGAACTGCAGGACTTGAGATGAGCTCTGGACTTCAAACTGAAAAGTTTTATTATTAACGGATCAAAACACAGGAACAAACACTTCAAGGCATTTAATGGATTTATAGAGAATATTTGTCACAAAACAAGAGAATTAAATTTGGACGACRTCACTTGAACAGCCCTCTGACGGACTTCACCACGTCCCTGAAGATGACCTTCAGGTGCGAGCCGTCGCAGTACGGAGCGTTCCCGGTCTGTTTGCAGGCACAGAGCAGAACCTTCTTGTCTTTGTCGGCCGTGAAGCGGACCGGCGAGATGCCCGGGGCTTTGGTCACGTGAGTCCCGTCACAGAACGGCTGTCGGAGGATTTAAAAACAAAAAAACGTCTCAGACGTGTGTTTGAAACGCCCACCTGACCTCAGGTGGACCGCAGCCGGACTCACCTGTTTTTTGCTGTGACCACACGCACACCAGGCGTACTTCTTCCCCGCAGACAGCTTGGTTCGGTACGGCAGCCGGGCGGCGGGGACGGACTGTGTGGACTGAGGACACCTCTGGACCTGCAGGACAAAATTCACCACGTGTCAATAAAACTCCCACAGAGGAGACAGACAGATGGTGTCCAACAGTGAAGCATGGTGGAGGTGGTGTGATGGTCTGTGCATGTGAACACAGAGATGAACAGATGATATGTTATATATTATCTGCACAAGCTCTTCAAACTGGATACAAACAATTCTGTKCATCTTTGTAAAAATACTAATTTAATTTATCCAGTTTTATTTGTTTTATCTATAATTAATATTACAGGTTATCAAACATAATTCTGTYTAAACTTCAGATATTTACACCTAAATTTTTAAACATGCTAAAAATATGACAAACAATATTAAGACATTTAAGCTTCTGCCATCAGCTGAAATTAAAACAATATCCAATAATAATTTTCTGATTATCCCTCCGAAGTTTTTAATTCAGACATTAGTAATTAAAATAAAAACATCATAAAAAAACTTATCATTGTGGAACTTAATGAAAATAATTTTAAACAAGAGACAAAATATAAAACCTTAAGTGTTTTTATGAATTTTAAATTATACTTAAATTTTTCAGGTTTTGAAACATGTTTTTACTAGTTATATTATTATGAGTTATAATTTTAGTTCTGACTAGAATGAAATGTAATGAGGCYAATTGTTGTGGTTTGATTATATGTAACAACGGCCTGCCATACTAATGATTCAAGTTCATGTCACGTGATTCTCTGCAGGTTTACTTTAATCAGGGGGTGAAAGGTGAAAAAGGTGTGCCGGGTTTGTCTGATTGCACAGGTAGACGTGCAGTCATGACTCAGCACTTTCAGGGTTCTTCACAGGATTACTGAGTGAAAATCACAGAAATGTTGTTCAAGTGCTGCACGCGGACTCACCAGGGACACGGAAGCGATCAGAGGTCGCCGGAGGGTCTGCGCACATCCTATGCGCACCGCGCACATCGCCGCGTTCATCCTGGCGCGCTCTGCGGATCAGAACCCGACGATGAAGATGATGAAGATGATGAAGACTTTTATTTCTCTCCTGAGAAACACGGACGAGCTGAGCAAAGCCTGAAGTTTAGTTACATGACTGCGCATGCGTCGCTAATCAGCAGGAGACTCCGCCCTCTGGTTCCTCTTCATTGGTTAAAGCATGAGCATGCACCGCCCACTGGAGAATGGCTCCTCCCMCTACGTACGACGCTCCTAGAACATGACTGCGCATGCGCCGAGACAAAAAGACAACAGGATCAACTTTAGGCGGAAAAATAAATTTATTTAAAACTAAATATTATTTTTAAAAACTATTTTATTAAATCTCGGATCTCATAAAGTKTTCGGTTATTTAACCAGTCATATTTTTTATTTACAGGCATAAATAAACTGCTRTTTTGAGGTCCAAGAACCACAAAGCGTACAGGGTAAAATTAGGATTTAATTGCAGCTTTTTCTTGGTTTTACTTCTTTTGATGATTTTTCTGACATTTAATTCAGGTTCATTCAGTCCTCATTTGAATCAGTTTTATTTTGTTTCCATGTTTTATTCTTCACATCATTTGTTCAGCATCTAATATTAATTTATGTATTTTCTTCAATCAGTGTGTAATTTTTAAATATCTGGTTCCTTTGTGTTAATTTGTATTTTGTTTAATGGTTTTTAATTATTCTGTCTATTAAAAMCTCTTTGTGTGTATCATTTTATTCCTTTAACTCTGACCCTAAACAAGTTGAAAACAAACCAAAACAAAGTCAGYCGTGCACACCATGAAACAACTCAGTAAAATACATTTATTGACAAAAAAAAGTTGTATTTTTAAATTTTACAGACAAAAATATCAAAATACTTTACAGGGATTTCAATCTGAATTTTGTCGAATTGGTTTTTTGATGAAACAAATAAAATGTACAACCACAACGTGCGTTTTATTGACCGTCAGTGCTCCTTTTRAACTCTTTCCAGGGAAACGATGCATTTGAAGTGATGCATAGTTTATTACTTGGTTTTAACGAGACCTCGCTGCATTTCATGCATTTCACATCCCGATGGCTGAAGTCTCATTCAGAACCGGGCCCTTAAATGTTGCCACAAGATACACAAAACGACATTCAGAACACGGATTATCTGGGTTACACAAAGCCTCGAAGCTTAAAACGAGCTTAACTCCTATTTCAAATAAAAAATAAAAAGTACTACAAAAACATTTTACATTTGGGCTCGGAGCGCCCCAGTGCAACAAAGAAACCGCTTCAGAACCGCCTCGCTCCTTCACAGCCGGACTTTTTATCTTTTTAWATCTTCAGCTGTTGGTTAAAAAATGAAAATAATATCTGCCTTCTCTCTGCTACAGTATTTATCACCAACTAGTGAGCTGCTGCTACTGAAACAAAACAAAACATCACGTCTGGAAACGCTGGGTTCTGACCCGGAACCAAGTGAAACCGATGGAAGAGGAGGGTCGGGCTTTCAGTGCCGRTGAAGAGTCACATTACTTATCGAAGAGTTCTGCTTGTCAACACAAACAAAAAGGTTCTGAGAGTTTTATTCACATGTTTGAGCTGCTTCAGGCGTCCGACAGAACAACTGTTTGTAAAAAGAACCGTCTTTAAGGCATCAAATATCAGTACTGCTAAAAAACATTTAAATCATGAAAAAAAAAMCTCAAGAGTGCAAAAATAAACCAGGTGAGGTCAGGAACAGGAAGTCTGTCAGATCCACAACAACAAAACCCAGAGAGCCCAGAACCAGAGGGTGCTGACCCAGAATGCACTGCAGCAACCAGCTTCCAGCACGGAGGTGGAGGACGATGGTTCGGACCATCAAATTAAAAAWTGAAACACAAACAAACTCCACAGAAACCCACAGAGTTCTGAGGTCCTGGATCAGGGTCTGGATCCAGTTTTTCACATAATAAACTCTCAGATAAAACCCCAGAACTGAAATGCTTCAGTGGCTGACTCCGCCCCCTTCAGGAGGCGTCGACGCTGTCAATCATTATAAAACAGTTTGGTTTGATGGGTTTCATCTCCACAGCAACTGGAAGGAAATAAAGTTTGATGAAACGAGTTTATTTTTATATTTCAGTCCTGAAGGCTGCTGAGGGTCAGCCTCAGCCAGGACCAGACCAGGACCAGACCAGGACCAGACCAAACAGAGGTAATAACTAGTTTATAACCAGACAGGAAGAGAGTCATCCTTACACACTGACAGAAAGTGCCTGCAGAGAGCCCCAGACCAGGACTGAACCAGAGACCAGGACCTGCCGGAGACCAGGACCGAGCCAGGAGAACTCAAACAGGAAGACTACATCTGAAGGAAGACGGTTGAGGCTCCAAGACGAAAAGTCTGTTTGACTGACAGGAAACGCTGGTTTGAGAGGAGGAAAGAGATCTCAGTGCTCGGAAACTTCAAAATAAAAGCCCGCCTCCTGCGGCGATGAGCTCCAGAAGCTGCTCCCATTGGTCGAGCTAAATTAGTGCAATTTAAGAAGAGACCACAGAACTCATGCTCTCTGAAAGCTGCCAGGAGAAAAATAAAAAYACTAATAAAACAAAAAAAACTACACGAGGAAACCCCTGTTAACGAGGATTTCAAAAGACCAGGAACTCCTCCTTTACGTCCGGTTATACATTCATTACGTTTGTCAGGAAGAGAGTCCACCTCAGTTCTTCACGGATTTTCTTCATCTGAGCTGCTCCAACAGGAAGTCACGTTCAGCCGTTCTTGTTTCCTCCCTTCTCTCCTGGAGCCTGGAAACAAACAAACAAAACAAAATAAAATAAAAAAATAAAAATAAATAAAAACCCCCACAAGATTTCAAGATTTGCAAGGTTTCCTGACCAATGAACAAATAAACAAAAATCTGACATTTTAACTATTAGGCTTTTATTTTGTTAAAATGTGAGTTCCTGACGAACAAATAAACAAATAACAACAAAAAAAATCTGACATTTTAACTGTTAGGCTTTTATTTTGTTGCATCTTTGAGTTCCTGTGAGGTCTGCCTGGTGGCAGTTTGATTGATGGACACACGGGGGCAGTGTTGAGTGTTTTGTTAGTGAATTGCTCACCCCGGGTTTGTGGAGTGAGTTGTCCTGCAGAGCGAAAAGCCCCGCCCCCTGTCCGAGCCCCGCCCCTTGGCTGAGCCCTGCCCCCTGGCTGCCCTGCAGGGGGGAGTTTGGGTTGGAKGTGAGAGATCCGGTGATCGTGAGGCGCTCCCTCTGCCTCTGCAGCAGCTGGTAGACCATCACCTGCTGGTCCTGGACAGGTGAGGGGACAAAAGKGTTATGGTCCCAGCACCTGGGAACTGATCCAGGATCAAAACTAAACCTGGAACCAGTCTGACTTTGTGTTTCCTGTTTGTGAAATAAACATTTTTCTTTGTTTTCATTTTAAACCCTCTGGAAACTTTTCAGCTGCTTATTTTCGTCTCAGTCAACAATTCTTTGATTTTTAAGTTTTACCAGATTAAAGGAGATGATTTTCTGCTCTTTGAGGTCTTTGAACGCAGCACGACGGCAGCGCCTGAACCTCGCAGTCAAACAGGAAACAGATCAGACTCTATATTTAGACAGCGTCACAGTCAGCCCTGGACCCGGCTGACTCGCAGCGCTTTGCAAGTCAAATCAGACGAGCWGCAGAAACGACACACAGCTCCTGAGCTGCAGGTCAGGGTGGTAGTAGCTGAGAGTCATGCAGACAGTAAGGTGGGGTTCAGGTGGACTTTTAGCTCTGACCCCGGCCCGGTCCAGAGACCAGGCTGATCTGGAACCTGACATTAAATGAAACCAGAGAGCGTTGACAGAGAGGAGAAGGTAGAAATGACTCAGCCTGGAACTGAAAAWATGGATGGAGGACAACAGAGCTGCTTCATGGAAGAACAACCTCAGATTAGCCTGTTAGCTTTCATGTTAGCGCTTGAGCTAATGTATACATATATTTTGATATAGCATTAGCGCCCGAGCTAATACATACATACAGTATATTCTGATAGCGTTAGCTTCAGAGTTAATGCATACATATATTTTAATAATGTTATATATATTTTTGATATCACCATATACTGTATATGATGATAAAGAGTTAGCACTCGAGCTAATACATACATATATGGTTTTATAAAGTTAGCACTCGAGCTAATACATTCATATATGATTATATAGCTTTAGCGCCCGAGCTAATACATATATATATGGTTTTATAGTGTTAGCACCCAAGCTAATACATACATACATGGTCATATAGCGTTAGCACCCGAGCTAATACGTATACGATTAAATAGCTTTAGCGCCTGAGCTACATACATACAGTATATGATTATATAGCGTTAGCACTCGAGCTAATACATACATATATGGTTATACAGTGTTAGCGCCCGAGCTAAAACATGTATATATAATTATATAGCATTAGCGCCCGAGCTAATACATACATATATGAATATATAGCGTTAGCGCTCGAGCTAATACATACATATATGAATATATAGCGTTAGCACTCGAGCTAATACATACATATATGGTTATACAGTGTTAGCACCCGAGCTAAAACATGTTTATATAATTATATAGCGTTAGCGCCGGAACTAATACATACATATATGAATATATAGCGTTAGCGCTCGAGCTAATACATACATATATGAATATATAGCGTTAGCACTCGAGCTACATTATTTCAAATAAAACTAAACAGTCTAGAGTATTTTTACTGTCTTGTTTATTTTGTTGTTTTTAATGTTTATTAAATAACGTCTAATGTTACAATTAGTCAGGTTCCTTTGATGTTTTAACTCATAGAGGAAAAGATCCAAAGATGTGTTTACCAGTGTGAAGTTCTGTGAGGTGAGGAACTGCTGTAGCTGCTGCTGCTGCTGCTCCAGAAGAACCTGCTTCTGTTGCTCCGACAGAAGAGACCTGCAGCAAACAAACACACGGGTCAGAGTCGGGTCAGAACCTTGCTGACGACACGGGTCGACAGTGCTACATACGGGCTGGAGCTCTTAGGGAGCTGGAAGCTTTGGGCCAGGATCTGGTGGCTGAGCGGCGGTGGCTGGGGGCGCAGAGCAGGAAGCGCCGGCTGCGGGGCGCTCTGCGCCGGAGACTGGATCACACCATTCAGCTGGGGGCTGCCCGCCAGGGACGCCATGAGCCCCCCCACCACGGGCAGCGYGGAGCCGGCAGTGGCGTGGGCCAGTCCTCGACTCAACCCGTTCAGCAGCGGCTGTCCGAAGGAGGCGGGGCTCTGCTGCGGAGGGGGCGTGCTCTGGAAGGACAGCGAGGAGCTGCTGCGGGACGGACTGATGGAGTGAAGCTCCTGCAGGAAAACAAACTTCYTGTCACTTTATCGCAAATAAAACATGAAGAAATGAAAAAGAAAGCCTCACTTCTGACGAGTTAACGAAGGAGGTGTCGTTCAGGAAGCAGCTTTTAGAGACGGGACTCTTATTGGTGCTGAGCGGGTCTGAAGACGAGAACCAGAACCACAGGTTTGACAGAGCATCAGACCGGCCGGTCCCKTTACAGAAACACACAGGTGTGGTTCTGACTGAAGACCCTCACCTTGAGAGGACGACAGGAAGCTGATCTGGGCCGACGTCGGCAGGGAGCCCGGGGCGGAGAGGACGTTGGGCGGGAAGGGGACGGCCAGCTCCGTGTTGAGCAGCTGCAGGCGGTCCTTCTTGACCGTCAGGCTGAGGATCTGGTCCTGGAGCCGCTGGTTCTCCTGCTGCAGCGAGTGAAGTGACTGCAGCATCTCCACGACTGGAACAGAGGAGGACCCAGAGCAAACGGTTCAACAACGGCTCGTTTCCAGGATGACACAAAAATCAGTAGAAAAACAGCTAAAAGACAGACATGTAACAGAGCAGAAATGTAGCTAAAGCTAGCAGGAAACAGTAACAAAAACGTAGCTTAAAAACCAGAACAAGCTTTAACTACTAGAAGGAAGTCACAAAAAAAATAGGTGAACAAACAAATAAAAAATTAAAAAATATTAACACTGTAATTTAGAGCAAAGATAGTAAAACATGTGACCGGGAAATTAGCTGAAAAACAGCGAAAAAACCTGAAATCAAGAAAAAAGCTGAGAGCATGTTTTCTGAATTAAACAGTAAAAAGCTAAAATTTTCACAAAAAAGAGAATTTAGCTGAAAAAAGGTMAAATTAATCTAATTTTACACTTTTAAGCTGGAATATCCTAAAGGAGCTGAAGGTTTTGATAAATAAATAGTTGAAAAAGCACAAAAACTGCAAAATGAGTTATGTGCCAATAAATGTACGGAGTAAAATCTGTATCTCAGTTGTGAAAAATTGAAGCGTTTTTTTTTAATCTGTTTAATTTTTTCTTTCCTCTCAGTCACAAACCCAGAATGAGACATTCAGACCTTCTGTTCTCTTCATCTCTCCGGTAAAAACATGTTTTCCTGACAGAAGCGAGACATGGAGCCTGGTTCTGTGTATAACTATGAGTTTGAGTCACCGAGGAGATGAAGACGACGCCGTGSAAACAGAAAAGATAAAATGAGTGTCAGCTGAGGACGTCCCGGGAGGATGAGTGAATSAAAGACGATGAAGAGTCAGCCTCAGAGGAGACGAGGAGGAGGAGGAGGAGGATGAAACAACGTGTCTGCAGTCAGGAGCAGATTCATCATCGCTGGAGGACAGCAGGTTATTTTCACACGCCGTCCACAGAAACGGGTCGAGTTAGGCTGCGGCGCCACGACTGGACAAACATCTTCAGAGTCATGAAATCTGAAAAGCTCACTCACTGTTGACGCCCATCTCCCCGTTTCCGTGTTTCTCCAGCAGAAGCTCGATGTGGGGGCTGGCAGGAGGGACGTTCTCCGGACGGGTCCTGACTCCGCCGCCCAACCCGTCTCTCTGGTCGAACAGAAGAGGAAGACAGCTCATGGGAGACCTGTGAGGAAGAGGAGGAGGAGGAGAGAACATCTGGTTTTCTGTATTTACAGCAGAATGAAAGCTGGAGTCRGACACGTACTGCGAGGACAGACTCTCTCTCGGCGAGTTCCCCTGACACTGGAAGCGACAGTCATCCAGGTCCGACTCTGAGGAACAAGACAAAAAGAATTAAAAGGTTTTATTAAAATGTTTTGACTGAAGGTTTAAGTTTTAAATAGTCGTCCTCTCACCCAGCAGTGACGTCTGGCCCTGGCTCAGGAGTGGGGGCAGCGAGGACGCCGTGGAAAGACAGCCGGTAAACGGCTGAGAGGAGGTCAGGCTGTAGGAGGTGCTGGAGCCAGGGTGGACCTTCAGGACAGAGAAGATCAACATCAGAACCATCTAACACCTGACGACAGGCCCGCCTCGGGGTGTAGGTAGAGGCAAACACTAAGGGTGCCCACCCATCGAAGGCATGCAACAAAAATATTTTATGATTTTTATTCAGAGTTTAGTCGATTTAATCTGAATAACAATCCCTGGTTACTCAGGTTCTATAATCAGAGTATAGTTGATTTAATCTATAGAATAATACCTGGTTACTCAGGTTTTATAATCAGAGT